GAGGCGGGGGGGGGGGGCCGCGGGAGCCGGGCACGAGCTTGGCCGGTGCTGCGACGTGTCCCTGGGCACTGGCTGAGATGTCCCCTCATGGCAGGTGTACGTTAGGCAATTTTTATTACATCAGGCGATTTTTATTACATCGGGCAATTTTTGTTAGTCAAATTTATTTGGTAATTACTTTGCAAATTCACGGAGCCGTTAAAGGACCATTCACTAATTTTTTTTTTCAAACCCTTCATCCGCCTGTAGGCTGCCCAGCTTCCCGAGTACAAAAGCTTCCTCGCATCCGCTGTGTCTGAGCTCTTTGGGTTACGGTTGAGCTTCGGGCCGCGTCGCTGGCTGCAGCCTCGCGAGTCGAGAGTCACTGCTGCTGTGAGATAAGCCCTGCTGCTGTCGATCCTGGCGCCCATCCCGCTTGCCATGACATTCCCGGTATGTCCGTCCCCCCCCTTTAGGCTTCAAAAACAACGACTCCGCGCTAATAATAGTTGGGCGTGCGGGTGGGAAACCTGGCAGGTAGGGAGAGGGCTGTGCGAGGGCGACGGCGCGCGGCTCCGGGGGACGGACCTCAGCTCAGTCGCGTTCCGAGTTCCCTTCATTCCAACAACTCCTCCTCTAGAAACGCAGCCCAAGTTTTTCTTCCCCCACATTTGCGTGGGGGGGGGGAAAAAGAAGGAAATAGGGTCACGGGGTTGGTTTTGGTTTTGATACAAACGCAGGTGTCTGCGGCCCCGCGCGCAGGCGATGGGACACGTAGAGTGGTTGGTGCTAAACCCACGCCTGGTCACCCAGGTAGAGCTGCTCGGGGCGCTGATTTTGCGCGGCTGAGCTCAACGGCGGCGCTGCTGCCAGCGGCAGGATTGGGCCCCCGGCGCGCGCGGTGACTTGCGCGTTCTAACGCCGCGTACGTACCTGCGCGCTGCAGGCGTCGGCCGTCGCGCGCTGGGGCTGCTGCTCCCCACGCAGCTGGTGGCGATGGCGCAGTGAATTTAACTCTGAAATGTATATGGGGGAAGGACTATTTTGACGTGTACAGTAGAACGTAAATAATTGTAGTTGCGTTGATTAACGTGAGTCAATTCTGCAAATGAAAATATCTGAAAAGCGTATTTTGGAAAAGCATAGTATTAATTTTAATATTGTAAAAAAGAAAAAGGAAAATATCTAAAATATACAGAGAACTTATGTATAGCCACGTGTCTGAGGAATTTCGAGATCGTCTCCTTTTGTTTTCTGTTGGTTTCTATGCCCTGGTGTACATATTGTGTGGATCGAACCTCGGCTGCTTTAATACTGTTGTTAAATTGTATTTTTATTTTGTGTTAAACTAATCATCACAGACTCGGCTTTATTTTGGTTATGTAAAGGTTGCTATGCTATGTAGGTATAAACCCAAGAATTCTATTTTAACAAAGAAAGCATTTTATATTATTTATTAAACACATGTTTCTCCAACTTCTGACATTCCACAGAATTTCTGCTCCGTCTGTGTCCAGAGCCGGCAGTTCCTTCCGAGCAGGATCGGTCAGCTTTATTCTGTTTTTCATAATAAAGTCGAAAATAGTTTCCGCCGGCCCGTCCAGCTCACCCTTCTGTTTCGAGCACGGTGACTCGCAGGCGCTGTCGGGAC